TATATAATATAAAGGCACTGTATATAACAGACACAGAACACACATATATATATATATATATATATATATATATATATATATATATATATATATATATATATATATAGTCAAATCAATTCAATCATAGAGATGGGTTAAAATTCAGATGCTGATTCACACTGAATTGTTTCATTGCAGTCAAATTCCCTTTTGTGACACAAACTGGTCAAAGGTTATCTATCAAAGGAAGGCTAGCAATTTGCATTACATTATTGACTTCACATCAGCTCTTCTTCTTGAGCCATGAGGTGATAGTGGATGGTTGACCGCACTGTGTCATTAACTTTGCAGCAATCTCTCATCCTGAGCAAGCATGTGGCGACAGTGGAAAGGAATGACTCCCTTTTAACGGGAAGAAGCATCAAGCCTCTAAAAGTGCCCAGGTATGTAATGTAGAGCAATGGCATCTCCAAAGTGCACTTCCGCAGAGCACCAAGGCATCCGGTAAATACTGCATTTTTGCACATATAAAAGCAAAAGGCAAAACGTACAATTAAAACCATATGTAGAAGGGAAAGCTGCTTTCAGAGTTCTTTTGGTATACAGTACTTACTACCAGTAAAGTACCAGTGTGGAGACACTTACAGTAACTTAGCATCCTCCACAAAAGAATGCTTGAAAAAAACAAAAAGATATTCAATGCTTTTTAACATTGAAGGGCAAATTTCAACATGTATCAGTGCCGGAAACCCATGAAAAAAAAAAAAAAAAAAAAAAAAAAAGATGCAATCTGCCAGTTTTCCAAAGTACTGTGGATTTTATTTAGAAATTAAATTAATTTATAAATGGAAAAAAAAAAATCAAAAGCAACTTTTTTGACACATTTAGAGCCTTTAGATTAATCTTAATGGGAGGTTAAGCTCTTCTGCAGACTTCCTCATCACTGCTCTCTTCTTGATTGACAATGCTGTTCTGCACTGTCCAACAGATGACTTTATCATTCTTTCAACTTGTTTTTGGACTGCCTTCTGTTTGCTTTCTGTTTTGTTAGGGAACTAGGCATAAAAAATATACATATATTTTTTGAATATCTTTTGGAAAAAAAGTTTCAAAGACAATTCCTAAAAGTCATGAAATATGCCCTTTATTTGATCATTCTCACTTTCAAAGATAAATATCCAAGAAATCGCTAAGTGTAAGTAATTTTTGGATCCTCTGTTTGTCTTCAACTATTGGTCATATATTTTGTGTGGTGCACTCCCTTGACGTTATTACAAGAGCCAGTAGCTGTTAAAGCACACAACGCAGGTTATACACCCTTGTTTTGACCTTTTCCAGAATAATTATATCTGGACCAAAATGCCAAGTTGCCTATTAACTATCAACTATTGCCACCATTTGGCAGAACTGGTGGAAGTTATGAAAAAATGTGTATGTTCTTCAAAATATTCCCCCTGCATCGCCTCACATCTCAAAGTGACGGTAGATGCTCTCCACATAACCCAGCACCCTCTGCCAGTCAGGTCCACCAGCTCGCAGCATCTCATCTGCTGTCTGAAGGAGAAATATTTCAGATAGATTTACCAGCTTGAACACAAACCAAATGTACGTTGTGCATGGAATAATGGAAGTGATCTTTACCAGTGATGGGGTTATTCCCACAGTCTCTCCTGTTTTGAATGCCAGGCTGAGATTTTCTCGCTAAAAAAAAAGGGGGGGGCAAGTTGTTAAGTTGAACACAAACAATAGCTTGATCTTATCCAGAATACCAACAATGTGTGCATTTTGTACCTTGTTCTCAGGACTAAGGCTGCTGTAAGGGACGTGTGAAGGGAGGTAGGTGTGATAGACAGCACAGAATGCGAGGCCGTCTGCCCAGCTGCTGCTGAAGTTCGTGATGTCAATATTCTGAATGAAGAGGAAAGGTTCACTCAACTCAGACAATAAAGAATCTTTCCATATTTTACAATCGTATTGTTTCAAATCAATACAGGGGTAAGATTTTTCCTCTATTTCCGTCTTGACTTGAATGCAGCATGCACGCCTAGGCGAACTATTTGCATGAAAATATATGTGGATTGATTTTTTGAGATCTAAGGCTCTACTGATACAGAAAAGTATTTAAGGCTTGAGGTCCTTAGAGTTTTGTTTGTTTTCCACTTATGTAACATTTTATGTTTTAGTGACTTCTTATGTTTTGGCATTTTTTGGTTACTCTTTCATTTTTGTCGTCAATTTAATTAGTTCATCTTCTTTAGTTAAATCTGGTGTGTTTCCTAGGAGTGTTTTCATATTTTTTTTTAGTCATTCTCTACCAAAATATCATCAGCTCAATCAAGATCCTGGCTTTCCTCCATCAGCTGCAAAGTGTTACTAATCAAGCACCTGCTCCAGGGTCAGTAATCAATGCCCCAGCGTAAATACATTCCATTAAAGCCAGCTCTCTTCCAGATTCACCTATTTGTACTGCTTTATATGGTTTTCCTTTATAGCCTCCATTAAAACATCATTTAACCCACGTAAAACTTGCATCATTTTCCACGTTTGCCTCAGTCCTCGCACGCACAAGGGTTAATACCACCTGCCTACTTAATGTTAGATCCTTGTTCTAATCACATATCAGACTCCATGCAATTAAAAATATATGTAAACTGTATGACAGCAAAAAAAATAAATTAATTAATGTAGCCCTTTATAATTAAATTTCAGTCATCAATAACATGGCTTTATATTGAATTTAAATCAGCTTAACATTAGTTACATACATTAAGTTTAGTACCAATTACAGTTTATAGTTCCTGGTTCTTTTTATTCCCATCTATCTTCATGGTCATTGAGAATAAAGGCCTTCAGATACTCCAACTGCAACATGTAGCCTCTACATCTCACAACTAAGAGCAATTCCAGTTCCAGTACTGGAAGACATTCTTTAGTTATTGCCTGAAATGTGGAAAGCCAAAGCAAGACAGTGTGCTAACAGTAAACTAGCTGTACTTTAAAGCATTGATTGATTAACATTTACTAACAGTGTGTTAAACCTGAGAAAACTGGACTGTGCCTTTACCACATTTGGAATGCACAAAACACTAAACCGACTCTTGAGTCACCTTGTATCCTTGGGTTCTGCTCTGACACCAGCGGAGCAGCGAGTTTCTCTTTGAGCCTCCATGGCGACGCAGCAGTAGGTTGAAACCATCCTGGGATCTGACAGCAAGATAAAGAAAAAAAGATCTACGAGCCGAGCTTTTTTGATTTTTTTGTCTTTGTACAGCATTAAAAAAAAAAAAAGGCAGGAAACTTCAGTAAAACGTTTCCTGCGTTTTGCGGGAGGGGGCATTTGTTGTCCTTAAAATGGAGACTCCACCGGACAAATTGGATCAAAGGAAACAAAACAACTTTAACAGGATGTGGCAATTCCATTGGCCTTGATGTCAGAGGGGTATGTGGCTAAGAGTGTGGACTCACTTTGTGGGTGGCAGCTCGGTGAGGGCTGAGTTGTACTTATTTAGAGACTCTTCACGCTTTCCTGCAAAGAAAGCGACAGGATTTATAAAACATCTCATCAACAGCATACTATAAAATTTAACAGCTTTATTAGGTGCTCTGATCAAATGGTCCTCTAAACAGCTGGTAAATAATTTACCCACACAGAAAAAAAAAAAAAAAAAAAACATTCTATTGATCCATTTATCTGCAGAATCTTATATGTCAACCTTCTAAAACATCACATGATGTGAAGTAAGACATGCACTGACAAGACAAAACTTGCTTTCAAATACATGACGCACACAAAGGTATCAGGACTGATTTGACCCTGTGCTTTTAATCTTTCTCGTCCTTTGAATTTCCTTTATCTTCTACTACAGAGGGAAAAAACAGAAAACTTTGTTCTTTGGCTGATTGATTCTTACACATTGTGGTCACGCATTGTTCAATGGATTCCGGCGCCTTTGATACTACAGAAAACACAATTTAATCACCAGCTAAGTCGGGTTGCCAGGTTCTTCCGGACATGCCAAAAAAACTTTCTGTAACATGAGAGTCAAAACTCTAAGACACCTGGGTCAGACCATATTTGGCGGCCGAACATAGGACCTCAATTTCCACATCTATCAGAGCAGTTGTCTGAGGTTGGATTCTAGACTTTGGGATCTTTGTTGCAGGTCTCTCTCTACTTATTTCCAATCTGACCAACTGCAAATAAAGCTAATGCCAGAGCAACCTTTAAAATGAGACGCCTTACATTCTGCACCAATGAATCTTCATGCAGGTACTCCTGAAACATCACAGCAATTATCCAATAATAAGGTTACATGATCTCATGCTATGCTGCATCTGCACTGACAAACATTCAATTACCGCAGCATGTTGATTCCTTGGAGTAGCTTCAACAACCAGCTGTTCCAACATTTAGCAACTTCTGATTATTTCCAATAGTTATTATACCACTCGGGGGAACTCAAAGAACATTGACTTTTTTATCCCATGATGGTAAAAGTAACTGGGTCCTGAAGAAAGTCAACACTGTAAATTGACAGTGTCTTTCCAAATTCATACACAATGAACTATTACAAATACACGTTTTTTCCTCCTAACTCCCAATGGTGTCCATATGGGCAAGCAGCAGTCCAATTGTACATCTCCGATCATAAAATTGAAAGTAAATGGGCTTGAAAAGGTTTAAATCAGTAAATGCCTTGTGATTTGAATGTTCACCTGCAAAATTGTGCAAGCACATTTGTTAACCAATAGTAACCAGCCATTTTGCTTAGTAATCTCCAAACAGAGTCCTCCTTTAAAGAATCAAAGCATTTTCAAACTGAGACAATTTCCACCTCCCACAGTAAAATGTGGATCGATGTTTTGGTCCAGCTCCATCCATCAACTCTGACCAGTTTCTCTGTCCTAACTGAAGAAAATGCATCACTACAGCACAATGCTGCCATTATCAGGCTTCACACAGTGGGACTCCAAATTATGCAGGCTACAGAATGCACCAAATGTTACTTAAAGTTATCAGAGCAAATCCATCCATCCATTTTCTTTACACTCTTGTCCCTTAGTGGGGACTGGAGGAGTGCTAGTGCCTGTCTCCAGCTAACGTTNCAGGCGAGAGGCGNGGTACACCCTGGACAGGTCGCCAGTCTGTCGCAGGGCAACACAGAGACACACAACCATGCACACACACACACTCACACCTAGGGGCAATTTGGAGAGGCCAATTAACCTGATAGTCATGTTTTTGGACTGTGGGAGGAAACTGGAGTACCCGGAGAAAATCCACGCATGCACAGGGAGAACATGCAAACGCCATGCAGAAAGAATCAAACCCAGATCCTTCTTCCTCCAAGGCAAGAGCTCTACCAACTGTGCCACTGTGCAGCCCATCAGAGCAAATGGAAAATTCAAATGCTCGCTACACTTTGAAGTTGTTTATTTCCAAAACCTTTTTAAAGTATATTTCTTTTGTTCTTTCTAATTCACAATGATGCGCTGCTTTGTGCTGATGTATCATAAAACAATCCCTATAAAACATAGGGTGGTTGTGGTTGAAAAGGGACACAATGTTCAAGGGGTTTAAAGAACTTGCAATGAGAAGACAAAAGCTAATATGAACAAAGATAAAGAGCAAAACCTCACTAAACACAATCAGTGTGTGCAGAAATTTTATAGAGAAACTGACCAGCATCACTGGAAAACTTGCCATCTTGCCAATCCAGACCTTTTCTTCCTCTTAGTTGCCCCAAGTTCTAGAAAACAAAATTTGTTTTAGCTGACAGCAGATAAGGGTTACGTGATCTTTAAATATGAAGTAATATATATATATTTTTTTTTGCCCAGAGCTTGTATCTCACCCTGTTGGTTGACTCCAGTGTTGAAGTGGAGTTAGTCTGGAAGGTTCCATTCTGGTTGGCAGCATTGTCTGAAGAAGGAGGCAATCTAGACAGGCTTCTAACACATAACAACAACAACAACAGACTTTAATACCTAGCAATTTTTCACTGGACAGTTGTTTCTCTCAGATCCAGCTTTGAATTAATCTGATGAGGCTGTCCTCATGTGGTCCCACGGAGATGTATGGAAACAAATTCAGAGGAAACCACAGCAGCATTCCACCTCAACAAGGTAATTGTTATCCTTCTTTGCATGCCAAAGATAATAATTGCAAAAGACGCAACAGTTTTGTTCAGAAAAGTCTATCAAATTACACACAACAATTGCACCGAGTGCAAATATATTTCCAGATTTTGGTTACTTTAAAGAGAGTTTGTCTCACCTTGACCTCTCTGAAGATGTTACCCTTCGTGGATTATTGGACTGAACATCTGCTCCGTACTGATCCTCATTGGTCACGTTTCTCAGGGAAGTTCTGGTCATGCCTTTACAGTCTATTATTGAATCGTCCTCAACAACATTCTTCACAACGAGATTCTGACTCTTACTGTCCATCCTTTCTCCCCCGAGCATGTACAATGCCCTCACCCTGCCCCGATTGGTCCCCTCTTTGCTTTCAGAGATATTGGATTCTCCATTGGATGTCTTCAGCTCCTGTCGTCCGTGAACTTCAGTTTTGTCTTGAACCTCGGTGAAAACAGACAGTTTTTGCCTGGTTTCCTTCAGTTCTCTTTGTAGAGTGACCAGCTGATTTTCAGCCTCTTTCTGTCTCTGCTGAGCAGCGGCCAGCTCCATCTCAATTTCCTTGTGGGCCGTTCTTAACGCCGTAAGCTCCTCTTCTGCCTCGGCTTTCAGGCGGTCAGCCACTGACACGGCCACCTGAAAGTCTGCCTGAAACTGCAGCCATTCCCCACGCTCTGTCTGAAGGGAAATAGTTGCCGTTATTTAAAAAGTGACATTGCATCTCATTTTAAAGACATGACAGAGATTTAATGCAGTAGTGATCCATAATTAATAAAAAATGTCCTAATTTTTGCCCCCCAAAAAGATCAGGTTGTATAAGGTCAGTGATCAGCCAGACAACTGTAATAGGTGCACCTCAAGGGATTCCCTTGCTTCAGCACATGCGATTTCAATTGATGGCTGGTAAACAGACTTTTGCTGAACTACAATCATCTGAATCCAATATGTTAAAGCAGGGAAACATCTAAAATCTGCAGGCCAGTGGCTTGAGGACCAGGGTTGGGAAACAGTGAATTAGAGGATGAAAGGAGGTGGCTGCTGGTCGTTCTTCATATGAATATAAAGTCCATAAAGTACCTTTAGCCTTCTGTGTTCATTGTGTTTTCCCACGAGCTTTTTACACTTTGCTAATGCTTTCTTTGTTCTACCTCTTAATGTGACCGTCTATATCTCATCCTTTGTAATTAGTCTGGGAGTCCACAATGTATATCTCTGACAAACGTTACTTGAGCCAATAGCTACTTTCCTTCCTGAGGAATTAACAGTGCAACACTCTTCAGTGTAGCAGTTGCTGTTGAGTAAGGAAGACTTAGCTTCATTTAGCATGACTCAGCTGTTTAAAAATGAAGCAAACAGAGGAAACAAAAAAAAAAAGCTTCAGAAGCTTCTCGGAAGAAGACTGGGTGGTCTCATCTAGTAGAAGCCAAATATGTCAGATACCAGGAAGCTAAGTGTATTGGAGAAAATTTATTTAATCTTTTTTTAAAAGCTACATTTCTGTCAGAAATTGTTGGTGGTACAGATTTCAGCTTTTGTGTAAGAGTCAGCTTATTTCCTACATAAACTACATCCTACATGTGTGTCGTCTGTTCTGAAGCAGGCATATTTATATCAAATTAGGTTGTGAAAAGGAGCAATCAAATATCCATTTGGCCCACACAAGTTATACCAAACTAAACAGCAGGTCTCAGCATGCTGAAAGGAGTGGAGCGCCAAGTCACTTCTAAAGAAGCATAACTAAATGGGTCAGAAATGTTTAACTTTTTTTATTTTTCACACCAGTCTTGTATTGTGAAACTGCATTCTATGTCTCAACTCCTTGGGCTGCGATCCAAAGATGTTCTTTTGTTTTTGTACATATGAGCAATACAGTTTCTGAGTAAGATTCTCATCAAACTGACTCTGTTTCGCAACTTCAAGGATGACAGGAAAAACAAAAAAAGGTTTGTGCATATCTGAGGCTAGCATACTGAAATAAAGGGGAGAAGGCAAACATCAAACAAACAGGGATCAAAAGAGGAAATCTGAACCAGCCAAAGCCAAGAGGTAACCGATAACAGATTATTGTGAAAGTCAAGGCAATGATTACTGTAAGACGAAACGCTAAAGGATATGGGGAGGGAAAGCAAAAATAAAAGTGTTTTAAATCACACACATGTTTGAAGCAGAGCTACGTGAGCCAGGGAATTGAGACCGAGAAGCAGAGGAGTCGGGAAGGTTTGGGGAATTAGATGAAGAATGGATGGAGATGTGAGGAGGAGGGGAAGTCTGAGCCAACACGTTCCCTCATCTGACCAGTGACTCCAGACCGCAGCTGGGCTTGATTACACTGAATGCGCGCGCACACACACACGCACACATAATATTATATTCCTTTTCCTCACTCCCACACATACACCCCTCTTTTTGTTCCACCTCAACATCAAACCTCACTGTTAACTTTACTGAAAGCACTAAATGAAAAGAAACATGATGTTTCCTGTTTGAAACTGTGCAAGTTCTGAATTAAGGAAATCTTAACCCCCACCCCCACCGCTGTTTTTCAATGCTCGTGTCTGTGCGGTGTATTTCTTATCTGAATGTGGATGCACCAACTAGAGCATGTCTGTTTAAGGAAACAGGAAGAGGTGCTCCTCGGTTCATACTGCGATAACAGCGTGGATTTACACTCAAACTGACCCAGTCCCAAAAGGCCTGACCTCGTGGTCCCCTGCAAGACCAGATGAGGTATCCAACCTCGACAGGGACAAACATACGTCTATGCCTGTCTCCAGGCACAGCTGAAATCCTGGCTGATCCTGGGAAAGGTCCAGCACACTTGGAAATGTCCTCTGAGTATGTTCCACCCATCTATCCCTTGTTCACCTCCACACCCAGTTTTTAGAAAACATTCTTGAGGGAACTATCCCAACTGCGTAATGTTTCTCTTCTTCTGTTTTCTACTTTTCCACAGCCTGTAATGTGAATTCAGAGATTGTTTGGAAAGCTCTTGAGATGTAGTGCTTGACAAATGGAAAATGTCTTTTAAAACATTTTGTCACAGTAGAATTAGAAGAAAAACACAAGTTTTGTGTCTATTTTCCTACATTTTTTTTTTAAATCACTCTTTAAAGAGTTTAAGTAGAAGAATGGTTTAAATCAAACCTTTTTTCGTGTGTCATCAAAGTCAATTAATTGAAAATCTGTGGCAATATTTTCAACTAATGTTCACTGTCCATCCGACCTGACGAAGCTTCAGCTATTTTGCTAAGAAGACGGACTAGTTAGGGTTTCTTGACACTCAAAGTTGAGAGACTAAACCCCAAAAGACCTCCACTTTAAATGGCAATTGACACAGTGGGGTTAATCACTTTGAATACATTTTGAAAAACAAATACGCTTTTTATTTATGTACTAATATACACATTTATAGATGCCAACGGCACAATTTCTACAAACAACTCAACTTGAGGCGACCCAAAGCCTGCAGATGCAATCACCAGCAAGCGACACTACAAATCTAGCAGAGAGCGAACACGAAAATCCTAGCTGGTGCACAGTCTTCTTTGAACACGTGACTAGCCTGCATGACCTCCATGTGCAGGGGCCCTTTCTAAGGCTTGTTTTGCAGGAGCAGTCTAGCGAGCAGAGAAAAGAGAACCAGCAGATCATTTCTGAAAATCTCCAGCAGCGTTCACCTGGAACTGATTCCGAAGCACGGCTTTGAGAAGATCTGACGGGAACACAAATTCATCCAGCCACCCACGCGGCAACATGCATACATGCAATGAATGAGCTGATTTCGCTTTTGCTCGTTAAGACAACTGAAAGACATAAGCACAGACAGATGGTGCTCTGCTGCTGGAAGTGCATAGGGAAAGCATTCTGACTCTCGGATAGACGGAGAGTGACAGGGAGATTTTTGAAAGCGGCAGAGTGAAAGCACATAGAAGAACCTTGCTGTAAAAATGTCACAGGAAGAATAGCAGGGTACTTAAACTGAATAGAAAAAGAGTTAATCAATCTGGTCAGATATGATGAAGAAAAATTCAAAGTTGAGCTCAGATAAAAGGATAAAATGAATGAGGGGAGAAGGTGAGACAATGTAGAAGAAAGGAGAGGAAGCATGAGATGAGTCAGGAAGGAGTACTGCTGCAAAAGTGATAATAAAACTATTGCAGATTCATCCTCTGTATTTTTTTTCACTTAAAACAGGCACAAAATAGTCTTAATGCTTCTTTAAACAAGTGTTCATGCCCAAGGATCTTTTTCCCCCATTTTCTCACTTTACAACCACAAACTTTAATATGTTTTATTTAGATTGAGCTTCGCATCACCCCCAGAGTCATTGTGAGTCTCTGATTAAAGTGCTCCTTGTGAGTCAGTTTACTACTGGTATTGTCACACCATGCACTGCTTTGTGTTTGTCTATTAAATATTCCAAATAAAAAAAATAAAAATAAAAAAAAACAGTGACATTTGTGACGGTGATGTGACAAAATGCCAATGAAGTTCAATGCACTGTAGACATAAGATACTTGTGCCATGCAAGGGCACAAGTGTTTTTGTGTCCTTGCAAGAGGGGAAAAAAATCTGCTTTGTAAAAATCTGCATGTATTTTCCTATGGGACACAAACAACAACATAAACTCCGTCAGTTACAGTGCAGAGCTCAACCCCCTCCACCTCACAGCAGAGCACAGAACAAAACAGGTTTTGTCTCCCAAACAACTGAATGTGAACCCCCACTCTCTACATAGCAGCTCCATTTTCCACAAAAAGAGAATCCCGGGCCTTCAGAGGAGAGCGGGAGGGTTTAATAAGACGACCTCTGCTTGCTCATATCGCTCTGCTGAGGGCTCATGTAAACACAAGGTCTGAGCTGCCCCATTTCCACGACACGCTGGCCCCCTCTCAGTGCTGTATTACAGTTTTTCTAAGGTTTCCTGACCTGTGTGAGGCTGATATTACTAAGACCCTTATTAGAATGTGGGAAAGTTTACAAGAGATTGAAGAAATGATAGAGAAAGCTTGGAGTGAATAAACTGTCCACATCAGTGAGGATTGGACTACAGGAGAAACAATCTATACGTGTAGACTGTGTCAGATTTTCAATTACAGATGATGGAAACACATCGTCTGCGACTCTACGACAGATGAAGTAGGTCCACTGTAGGTCATATCCAGCTGTTGTAATCTGAGGCAGATCTAGAGGAAACTAAGAGCATCTGCCCACAGAGCTCATAAGGGAGGGAAAGGCATTAGAATTGAGTGACTGACAGGAAATTTCCAAAGAATATCATCATCCCCATGAAAACACAGAAAGCTTTAGCAATAGAATAGAAGAATTCTCAAAAGAATTCAATTTCATTCTCATTGTACTCAGGTTATTCAGTTTGGGCTTGTTATAGGAGGAAATGCAACTTTGAAGTTGAGACTTTTAACTTCTTACATCAAAGTGGGGCACAACTGCCAACATTATCTCAAGTAAGGTGATTTCAGATTATTTCTCTCTCTCTCTCTCTCTCTCTCTCTCTCTCTCTCTCTCTCTCTCTCTCTTTATCTCTCTCTCTCTGGCCTCTGAGGACAAGCAGAGGACAGGAAAAGCTTTAATGAACAAGGCTGCAGCTCCCAGGAGGCAGAGTGGGGCTCATTCCAAAGTCTATTGTGGTTTGGGAGCTGGGAAGTGACAGAATGTGTGTGTCAGTGTTATCTCACAGCTGAGGGGTTATAGCAACCAACCTGGCTTGTGGATAACTTCCTGTTTACTTAAGAAAAGTAATGTATCAAATGTGCTGGGGAAAACAAGATTACTATTATCAAGCATGTCTGGAGGTCTAAAAACATAACATCTCACTGCATTATACAAAACTTTATTTATAGACAGAATTGCTTTTACTTTGTATGTGTTGAATGAAAATGCTAATAGAAATATTAGACATGCATTTGCTGTGAGAACTGCAATTTTACCTGCTGTAAAGGCAATCTATAATCCTTGAATGATTGAAATATATGTCAGCGCAGCCCTAACATGGCTATTCATGACTAGTCACCACTCACAGTTCAGTAAGAACACAGCTCAAAACTCACAAGGAAAGCCATTGCTTACCTGCAAAGTAGTCTTTAAACTTTTCACTTCAGTGAGCAGTTGCTTTAGCATCTCTGAGAGGGGGTGAAAACAAAAAATATGAGAAAGAACATGCAAATCAAACAGGAAATGTGTCAAAGAAAACTTCTGCAGCTCTGAATCACTTTGCATTAAATACAGGACGAGAAGCTTTATGACCAACTGAGACAATTCTTGCCTGTTGTGTTTGTGGTCCCATCCCGTCTGTCTGTAACACCCAGTGTACTCCGGCACTCCTCCAGGAGTTTTGCTAGTTCTTTGCTTTGTTTGTCTTTGTCTTCATTACCCGGCAGGAGGGACTCACTCAGACTACTGTTTCTTTCTTTCTTGCTCTGCTCCACAGAGCTGGTGGCAGGTGGCGCGCTGCACACCGACGAAGGACTCTTTATAGGACTAACAGCCACACTCTTCACTTGGGAGCCCGACGTTCTGGATGTAGGGGTCGGTAGGCCGCCATTTCTCCCTGAATAAGCTTGCCCCTTGCCTGCCACAATACTGCCAGGTTTCTTGAGAACAGGGCTCACTGCAGGACTGACTGCAGAGCTGCTTGGACCACCTGGTGGAGGAGGCTTCCAGTCAGGAGGGGGGATAGGGCTTCTTGGAGAGCATTGGTGTGGTTTCTTCCCACTCGAAGTGACGGTTGCAGCTGGTGGTGGGGGTAAAGTAGGGGATGCGGTGGGAAGTGGAAGTTGGGGAATGCTGCTCTGTGGAGATGAAGGTGGAGTGTGGAAACTCTCCAAAGGTGCCCCTAGGAATAAAAATGAAAGAATGAAAAGAGTCCAGTTCTAAGTCCAATTGAGAGTCTGTGCCATGAATTGGTACTGTTGTCAGAGGCGCCAACTAAGCCTGTGGAGATAAACGATAAATCAATTAATCGCACGATAAATTAAACCTATCGACCTCATTTTAATTATCGGCTTTATCGTCTCTTCCTGCCTTTTTTCTTTCTGTTGACACTGAATGAAAAAAGTCTCAACTCCGTGCTCTCCACTGACCCTCCCTTCCTCATTTCCTTAGTGTAATGTCCAGCTCACACTACAGAGTTGTCGGCTGACTGTCGGCCCATTTTCAAAACCTGAGAGATACATTAGCCGACAGAAATCCTAGGTATAACTGTTCAATCGGGTTTGTCGTGCCATGTGGTGTCCAGTCACATGGGCACAAAATAATGGCTACAAGTCCAGTTAACTAATTTTAAAATCGGTCATCAATTAATGCTTTACTAGAATCTACCTGTGATGCATGTGGCTAGAGTCAGTGTAAAGTCCTGACTGAATGAAAATCATTATAACCTATTTATGTCAAGTTAGCGAAGAACAGCTGAAAACTTACCGGGTTTATCAACTGCAGTAGCAATTTGGCTCCAACTCCTCTCCTTTTCATTTCTATATTCTTTGCACGAAATGTTGAATAAATATTAATGTTTCCACATATCATCTCCAATGTCTGCTGGACTTCGGGTTGCGCCGTGTCAGCTGTTTAGGATTCCCTTCGTAATTTCCCCTGAGAAAGCGCGGAGGAGAATCCGCGTTTTCTGATTGGCTACCTCTCTGCCAGCATGCCTAGGTGGGCCCCATGTGGGGGAAAGGAGGGCTGACATAGGGGTCCCATATGGGTTTGTCCGCGGGTTCCACGGTGGCCCCACATGGGTTTGCCCATGCAGGGCCCATGTGGGCTGTGGCCCTACAAGGGCAAACCCATGTCGGGCCACCGTGGAGCCCGCGAACAAACCCATATGGGACCCATCTGGTCTGCCCTCCTTTTCCCCATATGGGGCCCACCTAGCCATGTTGGCAGGGCCGTCACATTCAACAGGCTGCGTTAAGATCCCAGTCGGGGAAAACCCATGATTTAGATTGAAGCCACGACCGATGATCTACCGTAACACACCACACACTGCAGGATGATCGGTTACAAAATCACCAGCGACAATCTTGGAACACGAACGTTCTAAGATTATCGTAAGGGGAAAATAGGGGCAAAACATCGTGTAGTGTGAACTATTGCGTCAGGATGTGCCCGTCTTCTCTATTTAAATCTAGTGATTACTGAAGGCCAATACAGTACATGTTGCGTTCTGTGTTTTCTGTAGTTATTTTTTGAGGTTTTCTGTATTTAGTCCTGTTCCTGTCCTGTCTACTCTGTTGTTGCTTCCCAGGTGTGTCTAGTTTTCCTGACTACCCTCCCTGTGTATTTAAGTCCACCTGTCTCTCTTGTCGGGTCCTCGTCTAAAGTCAGTTCTGTCGCATGTCTTACATTTCTCTGCTCTCCAGTAGAACTGTTGAAGTTCTGGTTAGCGTTAGCTCTCGTTTTCAGTCCTCCGTGTATCATTTGCTACCGGTAATTAGCTGTGTGCTATATTTTCTGCCGTGCCGAGCTTTTCATCATTAAATTAATCATTTTCTTCACAACCTGGGTCTCAGCGTTCATCCTCCCCACCTCCCATTCACCACTTCATGACAGTATACAGACTTCATAATCTGCATTCTTTTGGTTGAACACAGTATTTATTTACACTTTGGCTTTATGTTTAGTTTTTATTCAAGTACGATTCTGTTAATGGAGACTGAGAATCCATTTTATTTTTGTTTTTGGTTGTTTTGTTAATTTAGTTTATCAGTTCCATTGTTATGTGTTTTGAAAATAAAGTGTATGTATGGCAGAAAATCACATGCATTATTAGTCATTTCCATTAAATCAGTGTCAACTGGTCTTGAAACAATATTATCGTTTATCGCAATAATTTTTTAGACAATCGCTCAGCAAAATTTGTTATCGTGACAGGCCTAGCGCCAACTATGGAGTCTGATAACACTTGAGTTGTTCTGCAAAGAACGATAAAGGATTTCAGCACAAACATAGCTGGTGGTGACACAGCCCCAAAGATCTTCAGTTGCAATTATAGCAAAAGAGCAAAGCGTGTACGGTTATCATGTTACTTCACAATATGGTGGTTAACATGAAAAAAATGTGAGAAATGTTCCAACGGGTATAAATCCTAAAACGGTATTTTAAAACAATGGAACGTGGAAAAGACTGCAAGCATCATATTTCATGATCCGCAGCTGCAAGACGCAACAAAATCGACGAAAACAGCTGAATCGAAGCCAGAGTTAAGAAAATAAGCATTTAGTCGTCACTAGTCTTGCTTGTTGACACTGAAAACAATATTCAGTGGGATGGCTCTCGCAAAACACCCAGGCTATAATCATGGAGTCAAACGCTGCAACGTTCATTTCCCACATTAAATAACACAGGAGGTGACATTTTGAGCATTGCAGCATTGGGCTTCCAATAAATTATCAGGTTAGACACATATGCAGACGTTATTTCCTCTTTCTGGGTTCAGCAATAATTATACCTTAACCAATAATAGGAAAATGGGAGAACAGCGTTTTCTTTCTTTCCCATGTTTGGGCAGACGCTGCTCGACTAGCAAAGGGATTGTTTTTTTTTTTTTTTTCTAAAGTGACGTAAGAGCTGCTTTTGAACATTTGTAAAGTTATGCACCACCTGCAGCAAGGCCAAACTCACTCATGAAGAATGACAGGATTGTCTAATAAAGATCTAATGCAACCCTTGCTTTTTTATCTCCCATTCCAGCTCTAAATATGCTCTCTCACTCATGTGTATGGGTGGTAAAGTGAATGAATAAGGTAGGATCTGAGTTATTTTAACAAAGTTTGTTTGCGTGCGTGTGTGTGCACATGTGTGTGTGTGTGTGTGTGTGTGTGTGTGTCAGACAGTATTATGGCTCCTATGATTAATCCGCTGCCCTTGCAGTGAGCAGGGGAATTCTGCCGATTCATCACAGCTGGCTCGGCGGGCCCAGGACGAATCACACAGGGACTCAAGGAGAATGACCACTCACTGAGCAACACGAAGGAAGGCTGCCAACATTCCTGCAGCCACACACATTCAGCCTTTGCCTTTCCTTTCCTTTTGTTGCCTTCAGTTTCACAATCACAACCTTTTGGGAAAATTTGTGTAGTTGTTCTTCTCTTCCCCTTTTTCTTTTCCTTATTAGATATATTTTACTTTCTATATTACAAAAAAAAATGTTTTAAACACGATAGAAAAAAAAGGGTTGAGTGGATCCCCAAAATGAACCACTTTCAAAAAAAGGAGCTAGAGTTCAGTTTACCATTAGTTTTAATGTACTCTAAAATGGTTTCCGACTGTTCAAGTTTTACTTTAAGTAGAAAAATTAGGATTCCGGTTTCTTTCTTTTTCCTTTTTTGATTTACCGATATTTACACACAGGCTGCTTATTCGCAGTACAATATACATGATGATTCCATAGAAATAGATTTTTCTGTGGAACATAACTCTTGTTTTTGTAGAGCATTATATTCAAAAGAAATTGCAGCTTAGGAATCTGAAATATGCAAGAGCAATGCCGCTTGACATGCCATTAGCTACTAGAACTTCTAAATTGCAATGAAGCCAATTTACAAGTGCCATTACTTTCTTTGATGATGACTGGCTCTTCCCTCAATAGTAAAAAATAAGGGACTATAGATAGTAACTTCTGTGGTAGTGCCGATGGTTTCTATTGTGCATATTCAGTTAAGGTACCTATTTTGAACTATCAAAATAAAAAGGTATTCTTAGAGGGGGTAACTTCGCAGATATTAGCTATTCACATTCAGCTGCGGTTCCTACCCCCTGCAATTGCCAGAGGTCTATGCTATCTATCTCTCCAGCTAAAAAAACAAAAGAAAAAAAAAACATGAGCTACACTGAACAGGCAAATTGATTTTAGTTCTGAGTATTTCTAACTTGTGTTTTTGAGGACAGAGAGAGTATTGGTTAGCAAGAGAGAGGGGGAGGGGGGGCAGCAAGTGGATGCCCAGGGCACCAATCTTGCAAGAACTGGCCCTGCTGAAAGCTGCATTTGCTCGTCTGCTGACCTACCTGTGTTCCCATTGTTGTCCTTGGTGGAAAAGTTGCCCATCTTGCATTAACAGAGATTGGGCCGGGGAAGCGGCCCTGCAAGTACTTGTTGCTCTTCGTCCAGGCCAGCGCTTAGGTGACCCTGCACACATCCAGTAATTTGTCAGGTGAGGTCATGCAGCCGCAAACAGGCTCCTAAAAGTGTGTGTTTACACGGCGTTAATAACGGACATTCGCCTGTTCAGAAAAATCACAATGTTTACAAGAGGAAGCTAAATTATATAGTAGCTGCCTGCGTGAAGTCCTGAATTGAACTTAGACGGTCTAGTTTAGTCTAGTCTAGAGAGATCAAAACAGAAAACAAAATAAGCTGATATACGAGTTTCAAATTTCGGCAGAAGAAATGCGCATAACGAGCAAACGCACCAATCCGAGCCACTGTGCACTGTCCGAGCTGTGCATAAAGCAAACATCTTAATTCTAAAAACCTCTTCTCTCAGCTTAAAAATGCTTTCCCCCAATCGCAAAAAAAAAGTTTATTCCTCCATATTAAAGCTGCTAATTATAACATGAAACTACATACAAACCTTTAAAAGTGAAATAAGTAACTCCAAGAGTCTTCAGATCTCCTTAATAAGTCGCCCTTCAGCTTCTTCCCGCTTTACTTTGTGTGTCTGAAGCGCTGCCCAACGAGAGGCGCTTCTTCTGCTGCTTTCTTCAGTGTAGAGACGCAAAGGCGGCTGCACTGATCCAGCCGCAGCTCTTACCGATCAAACTCAAACACAACCAAGACTTTTCCCTTCTAAGTGTCGCCATGAGAGTAAACATTTTAAAAAAAAAAAAAAAAA